AGAGCGCATCGAGAAGCGCGAGTAGGTGGGGTGTGAGAAAGCGAGCATCAGAGGCACCGTGCCAGGGAGGGAGAAAGGCACCCTCCCTTCAATGAGCCAAACATCAAAGACGTGGTGGGCGAGTTATTGAGGGTGCATCAGGAAACCTAATCTGGCATGGAAGGTAGGGGCGCTAGGGGAGGTCACGGACCCCTAGGCCCCGTCAGGTCACACTCTCCAACCTGAATGGGCTATACCATAGGGGACCTCATAACAGCTTTGCAGATGGCGTGAATTGGCAAACAGGCCATGGGTACAAGTACTCCTACAGGCTGTCAGAGATGAAATTCAGGTCTGTATAGCCAAGCTGGTGGGAATCTAGAAGTAAACGGTTAGTTGGAGCCATCTAATTAGGTAATTATTTCCCATGTCAAGAAGTAGTCATCTTCATATATGTGCTTTAGTTATCTGTATCCCTTGGACAAAGGACAAGGAGCACTCTGTTAATTTATGTTAGTCATTAGTGACTTGGGTCCATCTTGCTCCACTCTGTATTTTTTAATTTTTTTTTAATATAAAAAAAGCAAAACTAAAATAAATCATGCCAATGAGGCTAAAACAACAGTATGCATTTTAGAACTAACCAAGAATGAAATGACAGAATGATCATGTTGATGTCACAACTAAACACAAACTAATGAAACAGTAAAACAGCAATCCATGTTGTAGCAAGGTTGAAGCATTGTAGCTGTGACAGCCCAGGCAACGTATGCAAGATAAGGACTTTTTGTGCATACCTGGGAGACCCATTGGACAAGTTTTGGGGCAATGAAAATGCTCTCCCTTATGACCAAGGAAAGATATCAGGATCAACGATACCACAACAAATCCTTGCCTGTCATGAAAGAACTTTAATACTGGATTGAATCATCTGTTGATCAAGTCATTGACATCACCATTACAATGATCACTAATATTTACTTCTTCCCAATACTATACAAAATTCAGGTTTTGCAAACCATTTAAAAGATGTTTTAAAGACTATGTCAAAAAGTTACACAATAAAAATTCTGGATAAATCTTTTTAACACTTGGAGTCAATCAATGGCAGAATCAGGGCATACATGAAAGAAGTGGCGTTGGTTCCATGACCACAAACTATCCACATACAGGCACATCCTAACACGATAAGATGTCTCATGTCTGTTCTTATATTTCTGAAGGGACAGAGAAGGAAGTGAGAGGCATTTTCTTCATATACCATTAATGGATCGAGAACTGTCAGGCCTTCTGCCTCATTTTGATCCTTATAACAGGTATCTCCTGCTTACTTTGCCGTATAGTTCCACTTTTAGGGGCACATAGGTAGTCTGTACAGTCTACAAATAGCCAATGTAGCTCAGTGCTTGTTGAGCTGCACAGGCTTTGGCCAGAGCTTACTTAGAAAAGTCCCACTCAGGATGTCTGGAAACAGCTGCTGTTGCCTCCTATCAAAAAATAGGAGTTTCAAAAGTCTCTTTAGAAAAAGCTGTCCCCAACCGTCTGCCTGAATGAGAACAGCAGCAGTATACCAAGCCATCAGCAGTTGCTGTAGGCTTAACCAGTCTCATAAAAATAGCTAACAGCTTAGCCAGCAAGTTTATCACTTGTTCACATATACGCAAGCTCTTTCATGCTGTAGACACACAGGTAACCCATGATAAGCCATCGCATCCTCACAAAGCAAGGTCATTGGGGAAGTAGCTTTAACCATTTTAAAGGGTCATACTTGTTCCTGGTAGAAGCAAGAAACAAGCCTTCCCAGTGCTAGCCGAGCACTCGCCCTACACTGAGGGGAAGGCAGGGGAAGCAAGAGGAAAGTTATGGAGAGTCATCTTGTAATCCTTTGGCTCCTCAGGCACCAAACATATCATTTCTGTGTCATGTCTAATCTGCAGTGACACGGGGAATGAGAGCCTGTAATCTGCATTCAGAATTAGAGATCTACCTTCGTATGGCCTCCTGTTGTGATACAGCTAGCGAAGGGACACTGCTCTCTACTGATATCACAGGTGGCACACTGCACTGCAATGCTGTCTCGGCAGACATAAGGCCGTGTTACACCTTACACTGTGAGCCACACAAATGCTGATCCGTGTTAGTGCTAGCTTGAGTTTAGAGCAGTCACGCTCAAGCCAGCAGGAGCCTGGAGGACTGAAAGGTAGGAATCCCCATCACCTCCCATTCTGGGCTTCCCCCATGACCCCTGCTCCCTGCAACCTCCCAGGGCTTCCCTGCTCCCCCTGCCCAGTGTGGCAGAAGGCCACCCTGTGTCTCTCCCCAAAAACTCTGCTCCGTGACAATTTGGTTAATATGGGCCCTGCAGAGGGCAGACAACCCATCTCTGTAGGTAACCTGAGTTGGATACATTCCCAACAAAGGGAGGAAACCTGCTCCCTCTGCCTACCTGACTGGCATCACATACCTGGGTGAGGGGCTTGGGCTCCCTATTATTCTAAGCAATGCCAACCTGACTGGAGGGGGCTAGAGACCCTGCCAGGCTACCCAGCAACCAGTGATGCATTTCAAATTGGTTGGCTACCAGCCAACTGGTGCTGGCCTCCATTGGACCAGGTAAATGAGGTCATAAGGTCTATATAAGTTAAAGACTGCCCAGGAGGAGGGGCAGTAGCCAGGATGAAAAAACTCAGAGACAGAGGCTGGATTATCTGAAACTTGCTCTGTCTTGAAACTCATGATCAATGAACTGCCTATCTCCAGAGGGAATCTCCACCTGCCCCTGGATGATCCTCATGAGTAAGCTACCTGGGATCTAACTAGATATATAGCTTTCAGTAACACAGATCCATGATCAAAGGCTACCCAGACATGCCTGTTTGCTCTATGGGATTTCTCTGATGTTGCTCAACCCTGTACCCTATTCCAGACCTACTCCTTGTAACCAATAAAGTTCTCCTCTGTACCTAGCATGGAAGAATTATTGGGAGTGGGTCTAGATTATGCCTTGGGGTCCACTTGGTTCGGCTGACTAAGATTGACCCATCCAGCCTACTAGCCACAAACAGTTCTGTGCCTGGCTACTGCTACCTGATTTTTCCCAGCAAATAAAATTGTTTGAACAGAGAATAAAGTCTCCAGCATTGTTAGCTTCTCACAGAAAAAAAAATGTCACTCTGCTGAAAATATTTGCTCCATCTGCTTCTAAATGTAATTCTGTATCATGCCATCCGTGACAATTCCCTGAAGCTCTGGAGGTATAAAAATATTAATACACTTTCCAGTAACAAGACAGGCTGCTGCCAGGTGAATGCTAAGTACCATCTTGTTTCCTTGCAAGTTTTCCCAAAACATACACATCAGTGGATTTTTTTCCATGCTGGGATTCATATAAAGGAAGCTTTGGGAATTGGCTCAGTGAATTCTGGCTGGGGAATGAAAACATTCACCTGATGACATTGCTTGGTAATAAAAATCAGAGGTGGATTTTTTTTCTTATGATGTTCTCTGCCATGCTGTCTCCTTGGAGACAGCAGGCAGTTCATATTCCTAGGATAGGAAAAACATCTTGATTCCTCCCTTCAAAGACAAGACCAGATATTCCTGGGTTGTATTTTTCTGTTTTTTCTCTGGCGATCCGTCTGTCTCAATAACATGGAAGACATTTTGCCACATCTGAGCCATTCATAGTTTCATAGTTTCTAGGGTCGGAAGGGACC